TTTTAAAGTGACCCTGTTTTCCACAATTAAAACATTTGACATTTCGATTTTTCTTTGAACCTTTTGAAATCACCTCTCCTATCCATATGTCACATTCATGGTCATGAGCTTCAATATCAATTCTATCTTGGATCCATTCTTCCAAAGCTGTTGATCTTGCTCTTAAAAGCCAAATTATCCTTTTGCATTGGGTATTAGAATTTCAAAAGCCATGGTTTTGATTATTTTTCTAGCTTCTGAGTCTGGTATCATTCTATTTACTGTTGACAACAGCTTTTGTAAGAAATCTGTAAATGCTTCTGTTGGCCCCTGTATAACTTTTGTAAATGATTCAGTGTTCTCTCCTGCTTACTCAGTTCTGTCCCCAGCAACCCAAACTTCTACACAACATAAACCCAAGAGGTAATCATCATATAAACATTGCCTTTCTAAAGTAGCAAAATCTCCTTCTCCAAGAATTTGATATTGGGAGATATCCATACCTCTTGCTTTAGCTTTTTGTTCAATATTCTTAGCCTCTTCTCTGAACCAGGAAGCCCATTGTAAATGGGGTCTCCCATGTCCAGGCTCCAGGACAGCTTTAAGCAAGTCTATCCAATCTACAGGGATAAACCTATTACAAACTGACCACATGTTTACTATCTGCTTCACAAATGGTGAATGGATGTCATATGTGAGTACACCTTCCTTGAATTTCCCTAAATCTAACATTGTCATAGACTTCCAAGTAGCTCTTATAGAACCTCTATCATTTGACACTTCCTGTAATGTTCCTGGATATATTAAAGGTCTTTCTCTTAAGACTTTAGAGTGTTCCTTTTTAACATTAAAAGGCAGTGCTGAATTTGTTTCTTCATGTAATTCCTCAGTCTGGGTTTGAATAACTCTATAATCTGCCTTTTAATAAGGTTTTTCTAAGACCTGCATCTTAGCACTCATATCAACCAACTATTTTAGAGATAAACCAAGAATTATCAAACCAACAACCAAAGGTTATCAAAATGATAATTAACAGTATGTCAACCATGGTTCTGTTCATTATCCCTTGTTCATTATCCATTTTTAAACTATCCATTATGTACCCAGATGCAGGCCTAATTTTCTCCATTTTAATAATGTTTTCCATTTCCTTATATTCCTTTCTCCACCCAGCCATATCACTCCTGTCTCTGCCTCCCTAGTGCTGGGATCAAAGGTGTGCACTCTCTTATTCACTCTTGTGTTGGCCAGGGTGGCCTTGAACTCACAAAGATCCTGGGATTAAAGATGTGTGCCACCACTGCCTGACTCTATGGGTTGCTAATATGGCTGTTGGGATTAAAGGTGTGTCTCATTGCCTGACCTCTACATCTTCTGGCTAACTTTGTATTCTGAGCTCTCAGACAAATTTTAAATAAATCATTAATAATATGTCACCACAATAGTCTTTTTTATTTGTTTGGCCTGGAATTTGAGATCTTTCCCCTCCCTAATTCCTGAGTGCTGTGTTAGAGGAATGTGTCACCATACCCAGCTTTATTTCAATTGCTAAAACTATTTACCTTGATTTTGTTTCTGTGTTATAAAAACTCTTTAAAGAGATAGTCCATGATCCCAGACTCAAGAGCCTGAAGCAGAAAAGTTAGGAGCCAAGGCAAGATGAACAAAAGTCAAATTAATCTAGGCTACACAGTGAGACCATGTTCAATAAAACAAAAGTGTTAGAGATACCAGTGGGGGTAATTTGTTACGAGCAATAGGTACACACACTGCTTCTCTGCCCCTTTCCTCCTGCTATTGACTTAAACCAGTAAGACCAAGTCAGCTATTGGGTTGATTCTTCTTGTGACTTCATTTAAAATGTCAATCCCTTGGATTATCTAAGACTCAGGAGAAACTTGTAAGTAACTTTTTCCTACAGACTTGACTAACGTCCTAGTAAAGGACAGGGATTTTCTTGTCAGGCTTAGTTTAGGTTCTAGGGCCTGTTGGGGCTCGGGGTATGAAAGCAAACTGGACATTGCTGCTTTGCTTTAGTGCTGAGATGGAAAGGTAGCCAAGAAAGTAAAGCAACTCGGTCATTTAGTGATTTGCTCCACTTCCCTTCGGCTCATTTGTCAATCATCTTTATAAAATGTAAATTAGATCCTATTACCTGTTCCCTCATTAAACCTGTCATTGGCTTCCTACTTCACTTTGACTCTATCACATTTTTAACAGGGTCTAGAGAGAGAAGCATTTTTCCAAATCACCTGTTCCTCATACACAAGTATCTCTGGGCTGTCTGTCATGTAGTATGCATTTTTCACACAAAAGAGATTTCCAGGTGGTGGTGGTATACGCCTTTTAATCCCAGTACTCGAAAGGCAGAGGCAGACAGATCTCTGTGAGTTCGAGGCCAGCATGATCTACAGGGTGAGTTCTAGCACAGTCAGGGCAGTTACACAGAGAAACCCCGTCTCAAAAAACAACAGAGAGGAGAGAGAGAAAGATAGAGAGGTTTACTACATCAGCAGAGAAACTTATTATTTAGGGCAGAAGACGTATTAGGTACACCAGAGAGGCAAGTATAGCCAGATGGAGGAAGCTTTTCTACAGGCTCAAGCCAGGAGTCTGCTAAAACTCAAACATATGTCTGTATGTCATGTATGTATGTATGTATGTATGTATGTATGTATGTATGTATATGTGTATGTGTATGTATATGTCAAAAGGTGTTAGTTCTGACACAGAGGTGGGGAGGGAATGGCTGTTCCAGTGGGCTAGGACTAGCACAAGATAAGGCAGTTAGCCTTCAGACCTGCAGCATCCCAATCTCCATAGCACTGAAATTCTCAATGAGTCTCTGTAGACACAGTTTCTTTTCAGGAAATAAATGTCTGTGATGGTCTTAGCACCATGCTCTTTAGAAAGTTCTACCCATGTAAAAATCATTCTCATTGAGTTCTCTTGTATCAGAGTTGACATTCACATCATGAATGTATGCAGAATGGGAGTGGAGAGAGGTAACACAGGTGGCTTATCCTGTACTCTTGCCCAGTAGGAGCAAGATTGTCTCTTTGAACCTGGGTCTGGAGTGGTCCCATTCTACAATTCTTGTTGGTGGCCCCTCTCTTTTCTTATTCACAGAATCTGCCTTGCAATATTGTTCTCCATCCTGTACTTAGGTCACCAGTGGGACAGAGATATCAGTGTCACTCAGTCATCAATCAAGGTACTGGCAGCTTATTCTCAGTACACTAGGGTACCATGGGCTCCAGTGTGGAATAGAATCAGTGGTCCAGCTACATAGTAAATGGCAGAGATCAAGCTCAGGGCCTCAAAGGAGAAACACGGCGTGTTTTCTCCTCACGTAAGTCAGCTCTTCTTCCCCTGCCTTCTAGAGTCCTCTGCTTCTGTCTTATCTCCTCCCAGGATCCCGATTTCCACCAGACTGCTTAGGAAAACTGAATGCCTAATCCAGCTTATCTTCCTTGTGTCTCTCAAACTTTGCTCCAGGTCATCCTTTGGAGGCCTGCAGCTCTCATTTCATACTTGTTCTCCACTCAACTTTGTAGCTGGAATCCACTTTTCACCAGAACTTAGTCATAGTCACTGGTCTGGTAAGCATATTCCCAGAGCTGTGTGTCCGTTGCTATGATCTTCTGTCATAGCCACCGTTCTGTTGCTGTGAAGACACATGACCAAGCGATTAATTGGGATCTTGCTCACAGTTTCAGAGTATTATTCCATGATCATGTGGCCGGAGGCAGGCAGACATGATACTGAGCAGTAGCCGAGAGCTTTCCATTCTGATCCGCAGGGAGGGAGGGAGGGAGAGAGAGAGGGGGGGAAGGCCTGGGCCTGGGATGAGCTTTTGAAACCTCAAAACCCAGTAACACATCTCCAACAGGGCCACACCTCCTGATCCTTCCCAAACAGTTCCCACTCCCTGATGGCCAAGCATTCAAATAGGAGCCTATGGGGGCCATTCTCATTCAGACACCACATCATCCACAAAGGAAATCACGGTGCATCATCCTTCACTCCCTAGTTCACCCATGCTTCTGTCAACCGCAGTGTGGAAACATACAGTTGCACTTGGGTCTGTTTCATGCTGCCCTTGGGCAAGGAGAAAGATGAGATTTGCCTGGAGGGCTCTGCTTCTGACCTTTGCTGTTCTTAAGATGAGAAGCTAAACCCCCTACCCTTTTGAAGATTAAATTACCCCTTCAGATTCTCATCTGATCTTCAAGATAGAAATGTATTATATTCAGATATAATATCTATGAACATATTTATACCTAAGTTTGGTGTTACTTAACTTTAGTCTTATTCTCTATTAAGTAAAGTCCTAGCACACATATGTACACATGCACACATAACTGCCTTCCTTACCCAGGATGTTGCAAAGTTACCTTGTCTGAGCTAGGTGCAGTAGTACATGCCTGTAACTTCTGCACTCAGGAGTTCAAGGCCATCCCGGGTGGTTTGAAAGAAAATGCCCCCCCATGGGAAATGGCACTATTAGGAGATGTGGCTTTATTGGAGTAGGTGTGGCCTTGTTGAAAGAAGTGTGTCACTGTGTGCCCCGTGTCACAGTTGCTTCTGCTGCCTGTGCATCAAGATGTAGAACTCTCAGCTCCTCCTCCAGCTGCATGTCTGCCTGCATGACACCATGTTTCCTGCCATGACTACAATGGACTAAACCTCTGAAACTGGAAGCCAGTGCCAATTAAATGTTTCCCTTGAAGAGCTGCCATGGTCATGGTGTCTCTTCACAGCAATAGAACACTGACTGAGACAGCTATATAGCAAAACTCTAACTCAGCAAGTAAAAACAGCAAAAACACAAACAAAACCACAGTTTGAATTGACAGTGAACAATGCCATGCTCAAATCCTCTTCTCCAATTTATAGCTTTTTCAGATAAGGCTCTCATACTTACATCTTGCTTGCTTTACATATGTTATCAGAAATGCTAGCTATCAGAGAAAGTGAAGAAAGACAATAGAATGACTTGGACAAACCCCTCTCCACAGGGAAAGTCACAACAGAGAGGTCGTGACTCTTGGACTCACTTGATGATGATGAGACTTCCAACAGGAATTCATGGAAACCCTGAATACTCATGAACCAGGAACGAGGCCTGAGACACAGCTCCATGGTAGAGTATTTCCCTAGAATACATAAGGACCTAACTTTGAACCCCAGTACTGAAAAACAAAAACCAATGAGCAAGCCAGGAGCCATAGTACCACATAGTAGAAAATTCCCTCACACCCAGTGCCAGGGGCATGGCTAACTGACATACCCAAGTTTTTCTCCTTCCTTTTTGCATCCTTCCTTTTTGCATCCTCTGTACCACTGCTGGGTATGCTACCCTGCAAAAGCCTCTTCATTGCTTTTCTTTCCAACCCACGTCCCACACACCTCCCTTTAACCAGCATTCTTCTAGCCTTACCTCATTGCTCTACCTGGTGCTGAAGACACAGAAAGTGAAGAAATCACTTCAAATGAGTTTTCTAAAAATCTCCTGGAGCTTTATGTTTAATATCCACTTATGAGTAAGTACATACCGCGTTTGTCTTTCTGTCTCTGGGTTACCTCACTCAGGATGGTTTCTTCTAGTTCCATCCATTTGCCTGCAAATGTCAAGATTACATTTTTTTTTACCGCTGAGTAGTACTCCATTGTGTATATGTACCCCATTTTCTCTATCCATTCTTCAGTTGAGGGCCATCTAGGTTGTTTCCAGGTTCTGGCTATTACAAATAATGCTGCTATGAACACAGTTGAACAGATATCTTTGTGGTATAAGTGTGCATTCTTTGGGTATAGGCCCAAGATTGACATTGCTAGGTCTTGAGGTAGATCGATTCCCAATTATCTGAGAAACTGCCATACTTATTTCCAAAGTGTCTGTACAAATGTGCACTCCCACCAGCAATGGAGGAGTGTTCCCCTCATTCCACATCCTCTCCAGCATAAGCTTTCGTTGGTGTTTCTTTTTAACTAGTTTATTTAAATTTATTTTATGTGCATTGGTGTGATGGTGTTAGATCTCCTGGAACTGGAGTTACAGACAGTTTCGATCTGCCATGTGGGTGCTGGGAATTGAACCCGGGTCCTACGGAAGAACAGCCAGTGCTCTTAACCGCTGAGCCATCTCTCCAGCCCTCATTAGTGTTTTTGATTTTAGCCATTCTGACAGGAGTAAGGTGGTATCTCAGAGTTGTTTTGATTTGCATTTCCCTGATGGCTAATGATGTTGAGCAATTCCTTAATTGTCTTTTGGCCATTTGAGATGGTTCTGTTGAGAATTCTCTATTTAGATCTGTACCTCATTTTTTAATTGGATTCTTTGGTGTCTAATTTCTTGAGTTCTTTGTATGTTTTGGAGATCAACCCTCTCTGTTGGATATGGGGATGATGAAGATCTTTTCCCATTCTGTGGGCTGGCGTTTTGTCTTGCTGACTGTGTTCTTTGCCTTACAGAAGCTTCTTGGTTTTAGGAGGCCCCATTTATTAATTATTACTCTCAGCATCTGTGCTACTGATGTTATGTTCAGGAAGTGGTCTCCTGTGCCAATGTACTGTGCAAGGGTACTTCCCACTTTCTTTTCTAAGAGGTTCAGTGTGGCTGGATTTATGTTGAGGTCTTTGATCCATTTGGACTTAAGTTTTGTGCATGGCGATAGATATGGATCTATCTGCATTCTTCTATAAATCAGTGGATATTAGATATATAGCAAAGGATAAACAGCTTACATTTCGCAACCCCAGAGAAGCTAGGAAACAAGGAGAACCCTAAGGAGACATACATGGACCCTCTCCTCCAGAAAGGGAAATAGACAAGATCTTCTGAGTAAATTGGGAGCATGGGGGAGGGGGAGGAAGGGAGGATAGAGAGGAGGAAAGAAGGGGTGTGGGGAGGAGAACATGAGGGATCAGGAAGGTCGAGTTGGAGGAAGGACAGAGAGGGAGAACAAGGAAAGAGGGAGCCATTACTGGCTTAAAGAGAAATCTAGCACTAGGGAAATGTCCAGAGATCCACAAGGATGACCCCAACTAAGAATCCAAGCAGTAGTGGAGAGGCTACCTTAAATGCCCTTCTCTGATAATGGGATTGATGACTATCTTATATGCCATCCTAGAGCCTTCATCCAGTAGCTGATGGAAGCAGAAGCAGAGATTCACAGCTAAGCACTGAGCCAACCTTCTGGAGTCTAGTTGCAGAGAGGGAGGAGTGATGAGCAAAGGGGTCAAGATCATTCTGGGAAAACCCACAGAAACAGCTGACCTCAGCAACTGGGAACTCATGGACCCCAGACTGACAGCTGGGGAACCAGCATAGGACTGAACCAGGCCTCCTGAACATAGGTGTCAGTTGGGGGACCTGGGCAGTCTATGGGGCTGCTGGAAATGGAACCAGTGTTTATCCCTGAAGCATGAACTGGCTTTTTGGAGCCCATTCTGTATGGAGGAATGCCTTGCTCAGCCTAGATACAGGAGAAAGGCCTGGGTTCTGTCCCAAATGATGTGACAGACTTTGATGATTTCCCATGGGAGGCTGCATCCTCTGAGGAGTGGATTGGGGTGGAATGAGGAGATGGTGGGGGATTAGGAGGACAGGAGGGAGAGAGGACTGGGATTGGTATGTAAAATAAGATTGTTTTAAAAATAAAAATAAAAATTAATAAAATTTAAATCTCCTAGAGTTATAACTACTTCAAGAAGACAGAAGACTGAGGTTTCAGCCATTACTTTCAACTGAGCCTAGAGCATCCAGGTGAAGGCCAAAGACTAATATGGAGCTACTGTATTTATTTTTGTGCTGCCAAGAAGCAAACCAGAGTTTTGCACAGGCTAGGTGTAGAATTCTACCTGAGGCCCCAGTCTGCATATGAGTGGAGTCAATGGGAGACAGATGCAGATGTGGACTCAGGAGCCTTGAGGAGGAGGAGGGAGTGAGCACAGCTGCTGCCCCCCCCCCCGTTACGATAAATCTTTCCTCCAAAAGCCACCAAGCCCTACTGCCACGTATGTGTGCTTTACGCCAGCAGCCCGCCCAAGTTAGGGCCCAAATTAATACACAGAAACTTGTCTTAGGTACAAATGCTGCTTGGCCAATGACTAGGATTTCTTATTTGCAAGCTCAGTCTTAATTATAATAAATCTATATATTTTATAAGACTTATCTTATCGGACACATTCCATTGGTGTCCTCCCTTGCCGGTGGATCACATGGCACTACTGGAGGAGACGAAGGGGAAAGGGGGCACACTTCCTGTTTGTCCTTGCTTAAATATGAGTCTCTTTGCTATGTCACTTCCTGCCTGGATCACCACTTCTCTACTACATTTCCCCGAATCCTCTTTGACTCTTAGTCCCGTCTAACTTGCTGACTCATTGGCCAAATAGTACTTTATTTATCATCCAGTAAGATAAACACATACACAGAAGCACTTCCCCCATCACACCCCCTCCCACCCCCATGCCATGACAGCATAAAGCAGAGGAAGTGCTCCAGTCACTTGGGAGTCATTTTGATGACAGGTTGATATACTCCAGGGCAGGACCCATGCCCAGGCCAACATGAAACAATCTCCGTGTTTTCTTCTATGTGCATTGTGTTTGTCTTGTTTTTTTTTTTTTTTTTTTTTTTTTCTTTTTTTTTTTTTTTTTTTCACCCCAGCCACACTTGCAATGACCTTGAAAGCCAGTGTCCAGTGGGAACTGGGGAGGGGATGAATATGACTTAAACACATTATATGAAATTCTCAACCAACTAATAAACAATATTTTTTAAATAGGAAACTGAAGGTTTCATTGGCTCCTTCCTCTATGGGCCTTGTCATAAATAACATGTATTGTTAAAAAAAAAAAAAAAGTCAAACCCAAACCTAGCACAGCAGGAAGCATGGCACCAGGAGGGGACAAGCATGACTGGAGGCTTCCACAAAAGTTCATCTGTAACTTGTTTTAAATTCACATTGGTCTGAGAATTTATCAGAAGCACCCTTATTTTCTAAATGATTTCTTTGTGCTTAAATATAAAAGTTCATGCTAACGTTTCAATAATACCCTAGGAAGAATTTCAATCTGCAGATTTCCAAAGTGCCTTTTAGTTTAAGGTTCCCATCCTTAGTCTGTACTTCCCATTGCTAAATTTTATGGGTTTTATTTTACTCCTTAATCCCATAATTTAACTTTGTATTTACCTTAAGTCCTGGAGTTGGAGGGAATTTTTTCGAATACAGTTAATCATCTATTTTGCTTGAGCCTCTTGTGTTTGACCGTGCATGCCTGGTGCATGCCCAGTTCTGTTAGCTCCTCAGCGCTCTAGTTTTGTAAGCTTTCAGTCAGTTGCTGCTCTCCTCTGAACACTTTCCAAGCCTCTTTTTCTCTTTATACAGTGTGGCATATAAATTGAAAAATGCAGTTTGTTCCAACTGATGCCTGTCCAATGCCAAACAAAGCAAAAATAATTACTCTGCTCCCTTTCACACATGCACTCAGTAAAACCCTGTGAAGTCTTTCCCTTCTGTCAATGCAGGGAAGTTACGTCCAGCTAACACCAAGCAGAAACACTGGATCTCACTTGGCTTTGTAGTTTTATGTACTCGTTCAGGCAACCCAGTAGCTTCTTATCCATTAAATGTTAAGATACTAGAAAGAATTTCATGTGTACACCCTTTATTTATTTATTTATTTATTTGTGGGTTTTTCTTTTTGTTTTGTTCCGTTTTCAAGACAGAGTTTCTCTGTATATTCCTGGCTGTTCTGGAACTCTTTGACCAGACTGGCTTGAAACTCACAGAGATCCCACTGCCTCTGCCTCATGAATGCTGGGATTAAAGGCATGCACCACCACTGCCCAGCTCATCACACCTTTTCAATCATGAACACCATGAACAACATATTGAACGACATTAAATATAAATTTCATGCTGGGGTCTTGAAAACAGGCTTTAATGCCCTGCAGTGCTAGGGAGACTAAGAATGCATTCATTCAGATGCAAAGATTGTCAAAGGCTGCAGACAGCCAGGCTGTCTTTGAAGAATTAGTTGAAAAGTATCATTCTAGAAGGATTGAGAGAGAAGCTGAGAACGGCCCCAACAGTTGTCTTTGTCAGGCCATGGCTCCGACTCCTGCTCTTTAGAGAGTTCTGGTATTGGCCAGTGTCTAGGCATTGGCTTCATTCTTCAGCCTACTGGAAATCTATCCACTGATAGTTTTTCAGAAACTTCTCCATCACTTAGAACCAAGAACTGTAGCAGAGGAAAGCAAAGGCTTCTGGCTCTCCCAGCCTCCCCAGAGTCCTCTGGCTTGTTAACCTTTCTTCAGTGGCATACAACAGAAGCTCAACTCAGAAGCAGAAGTCAAACACTGGCAAATGACCAAAAGCTATTGTAATAGTCATTACTTGGTCCATTACCCTTACACTGGTCACATATAATTTCTTTGGTACTCAGAAATTATTTTACATATCAATCTCAGTTCCCTCTCCCTTCCATCCTCCCATACCTGCACCGACTCCCCCCAACCCACCCTCTACCCAGTCCCCAAGGATAGTGAGGCCTTCCATGGGGATCATCAAAGTCTATCACCTCATTTGGGGAAGGGCCTAGGCCCTCTTTCGTGTACCTGGGCTGCAATGGTAACCCTCCATAGGGAATGGGCTCCCAAAGTCCATTTGTCCTCTAGGAATAAAGACTGGCTCCACTGTTAGAGGTCCCATAGACTGTCTTGGCCTCCCAGCAGGCACCCACATTCAGAGGACTTGGTTCAGTTCAATGCTGGTTCCCCAGCTTTTTGAGTAGGGTCTCTGTGCCCTCATTAGGTCAGGTCAACTGTTTCTATGGGTTTCTCCAGCATGGTCTTGGCTCCTTTGTTCATCCCTCCTCCCTCTTTACAACTGGATTCCAGGAGTATGGCTCAGTGTTTAGTTGTGGGTGGCTGCTTCTTCTTCCATCAGCTACTGAATGACAGCTCTAGGATGGCAACCAAGGTAGTCATCAATCTCATTATAGGGGAAGGGCATCAAAGACAGCCTCTCAACTACTGCCTAAATTCTTAGTTGGGGTCATCCCTGTGGATCACTGCTCATTTCCCTAGTGCCAGACCTCACTCTAAACCTATACTGGCTCCCTCTATCAAGGTATCTCCTTTCTTGCTCTCCTCTATTCCTCCCCTGTCTCAGTCTTCCTGATCCCTCTTGTTCTCCTCTCCCCTCCTCTTCTCCCCTTCTCTTTTTCCTACCTCTCTCCTCTCTCCCCCCATGCTGCCAGTTTGCTTATCCCTTTCCCCTTCTTGGGCTCATTGTTTCCTAGTTTCTCTGGTGGTGTGGATTGTAGGCTGATATCCTACAATCTATGTCTTGTTGGGAGCCATACAGCTTGGCATGAACCTTTAGGCCAAACTTGGCAAGCCACACAATTATTGAACTGTCTTTTGATTATAAATGGCTTCTAGAAGCATGAGCACCCAGAAGGAACAACATGACCCAGACATCAATCCTTTGTTCCAACCACAAGCCCCCTTACCTAAGCAACCCTCCTGTGTCCCACCATTCACCTAGGTAACCCTCCCTCTCCCCACCACCCATGACTTTTTACCCTGCCAACATCCTCTTTCTATAGTTTTCTAACATCCTGCATGAACTAACACCTGGCTCTTGGCCTCTTCTCCCCCTCCCCTTTACCCCATACTACTGACAATATAAACTAGACTGGAAAAAATAAAATTTGCCACTTGATCAGAATCCTGTCTTGTGGTTCTTGAGATTCTCTCGAGTCTCTTGTACCCATTCCCCTCCTTGGACTTCTTGCTCTAGGTTGCTGTCCTGCAGGTCAGGACAACTACAATGCCTAATATCCATATATGAGTGAGTGCATACCATGCTTGTCTTTCTGTGATTGGGTTACCTCACTCAGGATAGTTTCTTCCAGTTCCATCCATTTGCCTTCAAATTTCAAGAATCTGTTGTTTTTTTTTGTTTGTTTTGTTTTTCTTTCACTGAGTAATACTCCATTGTGTAAACGTACCACATTTTTCTCCATCCATTCTTCGGTTGAGGGGCCTCTAGGTTACTTCCAGGTTCTGGCTATAACAAACAACGCTGCTATGAAAATAGTTGAACAGATATCCTTGTTGTATGAATGTGCTTCTTTTGGGTATATGCCCAAGAGAGGAATGGCTGGATCTTGTGGTAGACTGATTTCCATTTTCCTGAGAAACCGCCATACTGATTTCCAAAGTGGCTGTACAAATTGGCACTCTCACCCGCAATGGAGGAGTGTTCCTCTTTCTCCACATCCTCTCCAGCATAGACTGTCATTGGTGTTTTTGATTTTAGCCATTCTGACCAGTGTGAGATGGTATCTCAGAATTGTTTTGAGTTGCATTTCCCTGATGAAGAGGGAATCTTAATTGAGAAAATGTCTTCATAAGGTTGGCCCGTGGTCAAGTCTGTGGGGTATTATCTTGTTTATTGACTGAGGCAGGTTGGGCCAGTCCATGATGAGTGGTACCACCCCTGCCTGAGCATGTAGTCCTGTGTGGTGTAAAAAGGGAACTGAACAAACCAGAAGGATGCAAGCCAGTTCATAGCCCTTCCATGGTCTCTGCATCAGGTCCTGCCTTATGTCTGCCCTGCCTCCCCTCAGTGATGAACTGTGTTGTATAAGCTGAATGAAACACCTTTTTCCCTACATTGTTTATGATCATGGTGTTTATCATAGCAATAAAAAACAACTAAGACAGGTGGTGGTGGTGCAGGCCTTTTATTCCAGCACTCGGGAGGCAGAAGCGGATCTCTTCGAGTTTGAGGCCAGCCTGATTTACAAAGCGACACATAGAAACCCTGTCTCGAAACCCCCCCCCAAAAAAAAGGAGGAAGCAAGAAAGCCTGAGACATGGCAGAAGTGTTTAGCATCAGTGCTCAGGGGTAAGGATAGGGCAGAGGCAGGCGGATGTCCTTGAGTTTGAGGGCAGCCCGGTCTACACAAAGTTCCAAGCCAGCCAGGGCTGCATAGTGAGATCCTGTCTCAAAAACAACAAAGACTTTCTCTACTCTGTCTCTGGATCTCCACATGGACAGGCTGCCATGATAACATATAATAGGTGAACATATAAATCTGAAATTATAATATGAAAAATGATTTCATTCTTTTTTGGAAATTAAAAAAATTACATAAAAACCTGTCCTAATGAGGGATGGCTGACCTTTCAGAGGACTCACTTTTGGTTCTCAGCACCCATATGCAGCTCAGAAATGTCTGTAACTCCAGTCCCAGGAGACCTGACGCCCCCTAATGGCCTCCTAGGTACCAGGCACACATGTAGCATACATGCATATATGTAGGCTAAAACACTAAAACATAAAATAAGAATAACAAGTCTTTTTTTTTTCTTTTAAAGCTAGACACAAATACAGTTCCCTTTTCTCCTCCAAAGATTTATTTACTAATGTATTTTATGTACATGAGCATTCTGTCTTCATGCACATTAGAAGAGGGCACCAGATCTCATGACAGATGGTTGTGAGCCACCATGTGGTTGCTGGGAATTGAACTCAGAACCACTGGAAGAGCAGTCGGTGCTCTTAACCTCTGAGCCACCTCTCCAGCCCAGAAATACGCCAGTCTTAAAAAAAAAAAAAAAAAAAATGGAAACCTTTCCTCGTAGCCATTCGCAGCGTGTTCAGCTTGGGGACATCAGCTGAGTGTGGAAATGACCAAGCCAAAAGTGACTGAAGACCGCAGCCCACTCAAAGTCCTCAAGTGTTCGCAGTCCTTGGAGTCTGGAAAGGGGCAGCAGAAAGGGCGTGCTCCGGAGGCTCTTGCTCCCATTCATTCGGATGTCCCGCCCATCTAGAAAGGCAGACTCTCCCTGGGAAGCACTTGGACATTGCCTGCAAAGAACTGAAAAGCACCCCTGGCTGACTCAAGAGACCCGAACTGGCAGGCTTTCCTGCTACGCTTGTTGGAGGTGGATGGTGCTTTCATGGAGCCCCAGGTCCAGCACGACCGCTTTGCTCTTGCTCTCACTACACAGTTAAGGCTCCCCCTACTCCTTTAATACTACTGGGTCTGAACCCAGAGCATCGAGCATGTAAAAAGCAGACTCTACCGCCAAGCCCCAGCCCCAGCCCCAGCCCCAGCCAAGTTATTTTACTAAAAAGAGAGGGCGGGAGACTAGGACAAAAACAGAAAGGAGAACTTCCTACTAGAATCCTGAAGGTTTCTTCTTGCACATGGAAAAGAGAGTTAACGACTTATATTACAGTACCATTTTTTAAATTTAATGCTATCATATTATGTAGCTATTTTCAGCCCTACCTTTGAAAATTTTCAGATTTTCAAAGCTGTTTATTTGCTTAACTTTGATTGGCAGCGACATTACATGCGTGGTGGCTCTATTTTAATCCGCTCACTAGTTTGCTAATGATGTCCTGAGCTGGACGGGGCTCTGGGTAAGCGCTGGGGACAGTCAGTGGTAAACTGGTCCCCATGTTCACAGAAAGCAGCAGGCAAGTTAACAAACACGGGTGCTGTACACACTGCCCAGAATGGAACATTTGTATATGGGGGTGCTAGTCCCATTTCTGGCAAAGCAAACAACCCCCGAACCCGGTCTCATAAAACATGAAACATTTAATGTATGTTAAGAGCTAATTTCCATAAATATAATCCCCTGAGTTAATTGAGATTTCTGATCCAAATAATTAGAATTTGTGACGGCGAGAATCGTTTGATGCCAGTGTTGTGGGTTCTATAATTAACTGAGAAGATGGAGAGGAGGCGAGGGCATCTGTGAAGAGCAGTTCCCACTCCCAAGAGAAGGAAAGGGTTTACTCTGAAACCAGATACAAATGACCATGGCCCAGGAAGACAAACTGAAGTTATGTTTTGTGTCTGTGTCAGTGTGCCTGAGTGTACATAGGTGCACCACATGTGCACAATACTTGCAGATGAAGAGGCATCAGGGCACTGGAACCGGAGTTAGGAATGTCTGTGAGTCTATAAACAGACTGAGAAAGAAAACCACATGATCATCTCACTAGATGCTGAAAAAGCCTTTGACAAAATCCACCACCCCTTCATGATAAAGGTCGTGGAGAGATCAGGGATAACAGGAACTTACCTAAACATGATAAAGGCAATATACAGCAAGCCAACAGCCAACATCAAAGTAAATAGAGAAACTCCAAGCGATTCCTCTAAAATCAGGAACAAGACAAGGCTGTCCACTCTCTCTTCCTATCTCTTCAGTATTGTCCTTGAAGTTATAGCTAGAGCAATAAGACAACAAAAGGAGATCAAGGAGCTATAAATTGGGAAGGAAGAAGTCAAACTTTCACTATTTGCAGATAGATGATATGATAGTTTACATAAGTGACCCGGAAAAACTCTACAGGGAACTCCTACAGCTGATAAACACCTTCGGTAAAGTGGCAGGATACAAGAATAACTAAAAAAAAAAAAATTAACTAAAACAAATCAGCAGCTGTACTATATACAGATAATAAATGCAATGAGAAAGAAATCAGAGAAACATCACACTTCACAAGATCCACAAGCAACATAAAATATCTTGGGGTAACACTAACCAAAAAAGTGACAGACCTATACAGCAAGAACTTTGAGTCTTTAAGGAAAGAAATGAAAGAAGATACCAGAAAATGGAAAGATCTCCCATGCTCTTGGATAGGTAGGATCAATGTAGTAAAAATAGCAATCTTGCCAAAAGCAGTCTACAGAGTCAATGCAATCCCCATCAAAATCCAAATACAATTCTTCACTGACCTTGAAAGAACAATTCTCAACTTTATATGGAAAAAACAAAAGACCCAGGATAGCCAAAACAACCCTGTACAATAGAGGAACTTCTGGAGGCATCACCATCGCTGACTTGAAGCTATACTATAGAGCTATAGTCCTGAAAACAGCTTGGTAATGACACAAAAACAGACAGGTGGACCAATAGAATCGAATTGAAGACCCTGATATCAACCCACATACCTACGAACACCCGATTTTTTACAAAGAAGCTAAAATTATACAATGGAAAAAAGAAAGCATCTTCAACAAATGGTGCTGTCATAACTGGATGCTGGCATGTAGAAGCCTGCAGATAGATCCATATCTATCACCAATGTACAAAACTTAATTCCAAATGGATCAAAGACCTCAACATAAATCCAGCCACTGAACCTCTTAGAAGAGAAAGTAGGTGGTACCCTTGAATGAATTGGTACAGGACACTGCTTCCTGAACATGACACTAGTAGCACAGACACTGAGATTGACAATTAATAAATGGGACCTCCTGAAACTGAGAAGCTTCTGTAAGGCAAAGAACACTGTCAACAAGACAAAACAGCAGCCCACAGACTGGGAAAAGATATTCACCAAACCCACATCTGACAGATGGCTGATTTCCAAATATACAAAGATCTCAAGAAGCTAGTCACCAAAACAAATAATCCAATCAAAAAGTGGGGTACAGAACTAAATAGAGAATTCTCAATACAGTAATCTATAATGGCTGAAAGACACTTGAGAAAGTGCTCAACATCCTTCGCCATGAGGGGAATGAAAATCAAAACAACTCTGAGATACCATCTTACACCAGCAAGAATGGCTAAAATCAAAAACACCAATGACAGTTTATGCTGGAGAGGATGTGGAGAACTCTTCCACTGCTGATGGGAGTCCAAACTTGTACAGCCCTTTGGAAATCAGTATGGAGATTCCTCAGGAAAATGGGAATCAGTCTACCACAAGATCCAGCAATTCCACTCTTAGGCATATACCCAAAAGATGCACATTCATACAACAAGGATATCTGTTCAACCATGTTCATAGCAGCATTATTTGTAATATCCAGAACATGGAAGCAACCTAGATGCCCCTCAGCTGAAGAATGGATCGAGAAAATGTGGTAGATTTACACAATGGAGTACTACTCAGCAGAAAAAAGCAATGGAATCTTAAAATTCGAAGACAAATGGACAGAACTAGAAGACACCATCCTGAGTGAGGTAACCCAGTCACAAAAAGACAAACATGTTATGTACTCACTCATATATGGATTTTAGACATAGAGCAAAGGATTACCAGCCTACAATCCACACTGCCAGAGAAGCTAAGAAACAAGGAGGACCCCAAGAAAGACATACATGGTCCCCAGAGAAGAGGAAAGGGACAAGATCTCCTTAGCTAATTAGGAGCATGGGGAGAGGAGAGGGAGTTAGGAGAAAAAGAAGGGGAGAAGAGGAGGGGAGAGGAGGACATGAGAGAGCAGGGAGATCGAGTCAGGAGAATAGAGGAGAGCAAGGTAAGAGATACCATAATGGAGGGAGCCATTATAGGTTTAAAGAGAAATCTGGCACTAGGGAAATGTCCAGAGATCTACAAGGTTGGCACCAACTAACAATCTAAGCAATAGTGGAGAGGCTACCTTAAATGCCCTTCCCCAATAATGAAATTGATGACTACCTTATATGCCATCCTAGAGCCTTCATCCAGTAGCTGATGGAAGCAGAAGCAAACACCCACAGCTAAACACTGAACTGAACTCCTGGAATACAGTTACAAAGACGGAGGAGTGATGAGCAAACAGGTCAAAACCAGGCTGGAGAAACCTACAGAAACAGCTAACCTGAACAAGGGGGAGCTCATGGACCCCAGACTGATAGCTGAGAAACCAGCATAAGACTGTTGCAGACCCCCTGAATGAGGATGTCAGTTTGGAGGTCTGGTTAATCTATGGGGTTTCTGTAGTGGATCAGTATTTATCCCTAGTACACAAATGGACTTTGGGAGCCCACTCAACATAGAATGATCCTCTCTCAGCCTAGACACACAGGGGAGGGTCTAGGCCCTGCTCCAAATGACTTGACAGACTTTGAAATCTCCCATGGAAGGCCTCACCCTCCATGGGGAGTAAAAAGGGGATGGGATGGGGGTTCGTGGGGGGCAGGGGAGGAGGGGCAGGAGAGGGAACTGGGGATTGACATGTAAAAGAAGCTTGTTTCTAATTTAAATTTAAAAAAGAAAAAATAGGAATGTCTGTGAGTTACCATGTGGGTGCTGGGAACTGAACTGGGGTCCTCTGCAAGAGCAGACCATTCCTACCCACGGTCTTCTCTCCAGCCCCCCAAAATCCTATGTTTTGATGCAGTAACAATTTTATAGTAGCAGCAAAAGAGGTCATATATGAAATGTTTTCAAGAACATTGATGGGGAAATTAGGAGGTGGGTCAAATCAGCCAAGCCACCTCTGCTGTTGCCAGGAGACACTGGCAGATGACACTCTAGCTTCTGGCTTGGGGGAGTTAACAGGAAGTGAGGTCATACACAGGTGGGCAGTAAGAGGCTGTTCAGAGGCTGAAGATGGCCTCAGAGAACTGACTCTGAGTTTGGAACACTCCAACCTCTCCACAGACATTCTAGTCAGTCAGCTTGTGGGCCTTGTAGAATGTTCAGTGCTGATGCACCTCTTCTTGGGGACCTCAGCACCGGTGTGTGTGTGTGTGTGTGTGTGTGTGTATGTGTGTGTGTTTATGAGTGTGTGTGTTTGTGTATGTGTGTGTGTGTGTGTGTGTGTGTTTATGAGTGTGTGTGTATGTGTATGTATGTGTGTGTATGTGTGTGTGTTTATGAGTGTGTGTGTTTGTGTATGTGTGTGTGTGTGTGTGTGTGTGTTTATGAGTGTGTGTGTATGTGTATGTATGTGTGTGTATGTGTGTGTGTTTATGAGTGTGTGTGTTTGTGTATGTGTGTGTGTGTGTGTGTGTGTGTTTATGAGTGTGTGTGTATGTGTATGTATGTGTGTGTATGTGTGTGTGTTTATGAGTTTGTGTGTATGTGTATGTATGTATGTGTGTGTGTGTGTGTATGTGTGTGTGTGTTTATGAGTGTGTTTGTATGTATGTGTGTGTGTATGTGTGTGTGTTTATGTGTGTGTGTGTGTGTGTGTGTGGAGATCAAGAGCTGCTGTCATGGTCCTGACACACCATCACTCTCACTAATGACTCATGAACTACAGACAGCTCCTTTTTCAGAGTGTCCACACCACCAGGGACTTCCTAACACATTTTATGGCCTTTGGACGCCCCCCAGTGGCCAAACACTCCCTGAAAACAGTCTCGTGATGCTGTTTGCAACTTCTTTTGAACCAACCACCTCCTCCTGCCAACACCTGGATTAAAGGATAAAGAGAGGAATGCCTAAGTGTTTAGACGTGACAAGGCAAATGCAACCGTTGCCAATTGTAGAATTCGGGGACTGATATACGGGTTGCTGTATGACTCAGCGTTTGTATTTTTGAACATCTATATATTAAATGCTGAACACAAAGACCTGCTGGCTTGAGAATGGTGGCACACCTGTACTTGGGTGGCAGAGGCAGGCAGATCTCAGTGAGTTTGAGGCCAGCCTGGTCTACAGAGTGAGTTCCAGGACAGCCAGGGCTGCACAGAAAAGCCCTGTCTCATGAAACCAAAAAGGGGGAAAAAAAGATAATATTTAAAATATCACATGATGAAATTATCTTAATAAACATGGAATTAGCCAGACTGTGGCGATGCATGCCTTTAATCCCAGAACTCAGGAGGCAGAGGTAGGTGGATTTCTGTGAGGCCAGCCTGGTCTACAGGTGAGTTTCAGGACTTCCAGGACTGTTATAAAGAGAAAATTTGTCTTGGAAAACCAAAAAGCAATAGCCACAAGAAAATGGAATCCTTTTTAAGTGTTTGAAAAGAAAAACACTCCTATGTGAAGAGCTGGAGTCAGGCTCTGCCCTGCCATCTCGTGTAACATTGGTTATTTCCGAATGTGCCCTGAGATTTTTTTTTTTTTTGAGTTAAAAGTTTATTTTTGGAAAAGTGTCAATAGACTTTTAAAGAATCAAGTGTTTGGGAAAGTTCACAAAATTTAAATATCGTTTATGTTTTACTGTCCTAATTTTTAGCACACAAAAAACAAAATAATGTAAATCCATTTCCCAAGAATTGGCAAAAGTATTGTTTTTTCTTCTATGTAGACACATATATAGAAATTAAGCTTCAAAATAATATTCCATATGTTCCTACTCAGTAAAGATCTATACATGAAGAAAAAATGACATTTATCTTCATATCAAACCCATTACTATCTTATCCTTCATGGTAAAATTACAGAGTTGGATGTCTCTAAA